CCTATAAATTGGTACTATTTAATTATGCACTATTTTCGATGTTGGATAAAAATAATTTTGACTTGAAATTTAATACTAATTCCCTTCGTTTTTTAAAAAATATTTTTGCTAAAATTTTTATTTAAAAATATTGAAAAAATCTTTAAGTTAAAAAATTTAAATTAAAATTTTTCAACATCTAAGCAGAGTACCAAGAATTATTTCTTTCAGAATATTTTTTTTATTTTGTAATATAACAATTTTTTTAAAAAAAGTATTATTCATTTTATTATAAAATATTTTATCACCAAGTAGTAAATAAAAATTAAAGACAGAATAGTACAAATAATTACTGATAATAACATGCTAACTTATGTATGCCAATGAATGTTATGTAGGATGAGATACAATTTAAAAGTTGGATTCTTAAGTATAATGAGGCCACTCCGACTCTCCAACATCTAGGCAGAGCTTAGGTGCGATTATTTATATTTAAGATCTCAATTTACTGTTATATTTTTTATTTATTAATCTTATTATCAATGCGAATTACGAAATCGTGTGAAAAGACTTAACGAAGTAAAATTTCTTAAATACCACATCATCTAAGCGGCATTCGAGAATAAATTACTTCAAATGAGATTTTCACACGTGTTTTTAAGATTTTCAGAAGGTTTTGAGTAAGGACTTGAGTAAAGGTTTTGAAGGTTTGGTTTTAAAGCTTGAATTTTATGATATGAAAGGTTTAGGGTTTTGATTTTAGAGTTTGGAGATTTTAGGGTTTGAGTTTTGGGGTTTGGGGTTTGGATTTTAGGGGTTTCGGATTTTAGGGGTTTGGATTTAAGAGATTTTAGATTTTTAGGGGTTTCAGATTTTAGGATTTTGGATTTTAAGATTTTGGATTTTAGGAGATTTTGGATTTTAGGGGTTTGGATATAAAGAGTTTTAGAAACCTAGGATTTTGAAAATTAAGAATTAGTGTTTAAGGTTTCACTTTTAAGAAAATACGAACATCTTTAAAAATCTCCAACATCTAGACAGATTTTTGAAGCAAGTTCGATTTTAATGGTTTTTTAAAATTAATTAAAAAAATTTTATATTTCTTTTTATGAAAATTTATTAATAATAATTTTTCAACATCTAGGCGGAACTATTTCTTTAAAAAAATATTTTTTTATTGCTCCAACATCTAGGCAGAAAAAATAATAATAATAATTATTATTATTTTGAGCATTTTTAATGTATATTTTTAATTATTATGTTACTTATTTTTATTTTTATTATTATTAAAACAATTAAAAAAATTATCCTAATAAATTTAAAAATTTATCATACATAAATATAAAGAAAATACTTAAAATAACAAAAATAATAATATATAATAAAAATTATAAAATTATAAAAAAAATTTACTTGAATCGGACCGGTCAATGGTCCGATCAACACTGATCTAGACCAGTTGAACCGGTTCTGCGAATCGATCCAGTTGAACCGAATGAGAGTGGCTCGACGAGCAATTCAGTTGAACCGGTTAGAGGCTGGCTGAAGGTGGTTTTCGGGTGGAGTAGCGAATCCTAGGTCGGGTTCGGGTCCACACACGGATCCTCTTTACTTAAAATGACATCGTTTTGGGCTTTAGATTTTTCTATATAGGCTCAAAAGATTTTTTTTTTTTTGCTCATTTCTTCACCTGTTTTAGAAAAAAAACTTTTTTTTTCTTAACCCAAAAAATAGAAGGCCCGTCGATTGCCAGAAGTCGATCACCTATGGTCACGCCGACCACCGTGGGTCACCATCGGTCGTCGATAACCGATGTCAAAAAACCTTCAAAAACATCCAGAAGCTCTCTTTCTTCATCCCCTTTCCAGATCCAGTGTCACTTTCGCAAGAAACAACCCCAATCATCGTAGATCGGGTTTAAAGTTTCGGTTTCTTCTCTTTTTTTTATTTTGGACTAGAACTGATCTGTTTTCTTTGTTTTTACAGGGAGCTCGACGCTGAGGTTCCTCCTTACGGGGAGGACTATTTGTCTTTGTTTTTTTGTTTCTGTTTGGGTATGAGTTTGGTGAGGGTTGAGGCTCGAATTTGGGTGCTAGTATGGGGACTGATCTTGTTGAAAGGGGGGTTGGGCAGTGATAAAGGGTAAGCTCTTCGTCTGTCATAAAGAGAGGTTGAAGGGGAAGATACTGAGGGTTTTAAAAAGCTTCAAATAGGGGGATAGATAATGGTCGTAGGCGTGATAGGGTGGTTGTCTGGTCTGGTGGCTAGACAGGGGGCTAATCAGGGGTTGGACAGGGAACTGGTCGGGTTAGACAGGGGCGACAACAGTGACGTACCAAGCCTCTAGTTTTTGTCTCTTTTTCTTTTTTTTTTTAAATTATTATATATATATTTTTAATATTTATTATTATTATTATTATTATTAAAAATATTAATATTAACCTGAAATGAGAACAATAGATCCGGACAAAACCGGTGTCTACAGATAGGACTTACCTGCTTTGCCATATCCACGAGGATTTTACTCAGAAGATCAAACATCATACCGAATGAATTGTACGCATTAAGGATTCCATCAGGGTTTGATAGTGTGATGAGAACCATCATCCCTCCAACCAGAAGCTCCTTAGCTCTATCAACCAAAAATATGTCCATGTCCTTGGCAAATTGGGCTGCATAAGCATTGTATACATCTGCTGCAGCATTGTGTAGTGAATTCATCCCTTGTTCTATGCAGGGGAATTGTTGTCTAGCACCTCTTCTGGAATCTTGGACAGCCACTGTGATGCATAGGAGGAATGGACAACATGGAGAGATGACTCAGGAAATAAGCGGCCATAAAAGACCCTGGCACTCCAGCTACAAAATATTGTCTTTCGGGCGGGACGGAAGCAAAAAAGGTACTAAAATCATTGGAAGCATGATCATTGTAGAACACTTGGAACTCCGGAATTTTGGAAGCAGGAGACTGAGTTTGGTATTCAAGCTGCATAGCTTCTAGTACATTTTGCATAGACATAAATGTGTTTGGTCCAACTGAGCATCCTAAATCTTATACATGCAGTGCGTTTGATGCAGAAGAAAGTTTTTTTTATGTCAAGCTTCTCTACAATGGCACCATGGATCTTTACATCTGTAATGCTTGCAGCCGCTCTCTGCAGCAGTTGTTATATGATTTACTATAGCTACCTTTATCTTTATGAATACACACCGTAAAACGATGGATTAAGGTCGAAGTATTAACGCTTATGTCCCTCTATCATTGTCGAGTAGTGCCCAAAAAAAAAAAAAAAAGACATACCTGTAAGTAGGAATTCTTCGCGTAGCTGTAGGCTCCATCACCGCCTTTAATCGGATATGACTACAGAACTTCACCAGTGTTTTTGCTTATCGTTAACAATTGAACTCTTTGCCTTTTTCTCTAAAGCAACCTCTTTGGCTTGGGCTGAGGCTTCAGGGTCTTCTTGCTTTTACCTATTTATTCAACTCAAGACATATTAGGACGTTGGCTGTCAAGACATGTCGGGAGTTGTCTGCTTCTAGTAGTTGTTGTGTGTCATCTCAATAATTACGAAAAAAATTCAATAATATCATTTTAAGATTTATATTTTATATATTATCAATAAATTAGATTGGTCTCACTTTATTAATAAATTTTTTAAAAAATATATTAATTTTTATACATTTATTTTAAAAATTAATACTTATTCGTTAATTATATAATATTATTTAATTTATTAATAATATATAAAAATTTATACATTACTAATATATCAAATATAAATTTTACAGATATATTTTTATAATGTTACTGTCTAATAATAGTTCTTATTTTGATTATCTATGATAGTTTTTATGTTTCAAAGGAGTATAAACCAAAACCAATAAAAGTTAAACTCTTTTAAGATAAGATAAATAAAATTAATTAAATAATATATTAACTGATAACAAAAATAATTATGGACACGATCGTCACATGTGTAATTTTATATTTCTACAATAATTACTTGATAATTGAAGGGAAGAAAGTCAAACACAGACACCTTTCTCGACGTTGCAATCATCTTATTCGAAAGCATTGTAGTAATTAACAAGGCAGCAAAATCTCACATTCACATATAAAATACATGCATGCATTTTAATTTGAATGACATTCTCTAAGTTTGTGAGAATAGCTTATTTGAACGAATGCAAGTTGATAGCAATAAAAGAGACGTTTATTCTATTTGTGAATTTCTCATGGGCCATACGAATGATCCTAGCTACCTAGATTAAATGATAGTTGAAACTATCATTTATGTATGTTCGTCGAACTTGGGCAGATCAGTAGTCTTAAAAAAATATATCATAGAAATTATATATAATAGATACATAAATTAGTTTCCTTATCTTTCGAAACACCAGATAAATATGAGTTCCCTTCTTCTTGTTGATTGAACCGATTAGGGGAGCAATGCCATTTTAAAATGTTGACTGAGTCATTAATTTGTCTGCAATATTGAAAGTAGATTTTGATGAGAGTGAAAACAACAGATGGAGCAAAGAGTGACAAATGGAGTCTGGAGAGGATGGCAGGGTGATGTAATTAGATGTTCTTGAAAGGAGGGAGGAAAAAAAAAAAAGAAAATAGGGACTGAAAATGGGGAGAAAAGTGGGAAAAGCTTGAGTTTTTTTTTTGGTTGAGATAAAAGCAGAAAGATCATAGGATGTTAATTCATTAGTGTCAAACTTTTTAATTCATGTTGAAAGATGTTTGCCTAGCTCCTAATTTCATTTGACTTTTATGGAAGTTGTACTAATATTATTGTGTTATTATTTCATTAATCAATCTGTCTGTGCAAAAATCCGAATTGAGGGCAGGCACCTGAAAACAAGAACACAGTCAGAATCATTAAACAAGAAACAAGGTCAATATATATATATATATATATATATATATATGTTTATTCCATACAAAATAGTCTTACAATAACAAAAGTTATGCTGACCAGAGAAATTTATTTTTAATTAAACGGGTCCTAGTTTCAAGCTTTCAGCTGCAAAATTCATCACTTGCGTTGCAAGACTACAGATAACTGGGTTCCTCCTCTGCAGCTGGACAGAATTAAGTGGAATGATTCCTTTACTTTCTTAACAAGACGATCGAATAACTCATCTATAATATCATTTCCAAAATGTTTGCTGATGATCGATTCGAAGCCAGCTCTTAAATGCATCACACATGCTTTTTCATCAAGTTTGGGATCAGCCTCGGTTCGAACATTTGTTAACTCCAATCTCTCAATGCTAAAGCATCCATTTCTTTCCACCAGCTCTGTAATCTCCATTGGAGAGGCAGCATAAACGGGTAAGTTGAATGAATCCACTTGACCTTCACTTAATAATCCCTGCAGCATGCATTGATGTTGTATATTTCAATTTAACCAGCAGAATTGAAATCAATAACTGGATTTTACAACATTTTCAGTAAGGATTACAGCTAGCTGTTGAGTTACTCACCTCTTTTGCCATATTGTTCAAGCAGGATTCCAGGAAATCAAACATTAAACCAGTTGGAAGATTTGAGTATGGCATCCCATTCGGGCAACCTAGTGTGATCAATACCATCATCCCTCCAGATACGAGTTCTTTACCCCGAGCATCCAAAAAGCCTTCCATGTCCTTAGTAAACTGAGCTGCATAAGCATCAACTACTGCATCAGAGGCATTGGTACAGTGTATTCTCCCTTTGTTCCAGGCAGGGGAGTTTTTGTCTAGCAACTCTTCTGGCACCCTACTTAGCCAATGCAAGGCATATGAAGAGTGCACGAAATGTAAAAAGGACTGGGGAAATAATCTGCCATAGAAAGACCCTGGGACACCGGCTGCATAGTATTGCCTTTCCTTTGGCATGGAGGTAAAAAGGGTATTGAAATCATTGGAGCCTTGATCATTAAAGAACACTTGAAATTCAGGAATTTTTGAAGCAAGGCCTTGGGATTGGTACTTGTGTTGCACAGCTTCTAGTATATTTTGCATAGCTGTGAAGGTATTTGGTCCAACTGAACACCCCAAATCAGCAAGACGAAATAAGTTTGAACTAGAAAAGTTATTCATATCAAGTTTTTCCTCAATTACCTCATTGACTATTCCCTTTACAACATTTATACCTGTCTTCTGCGATATGTAATTGTATGGTTAAAATATAGAGAGAATCAGGTAAGCATCAACCACAACAGATTATAACTTATAAGCATGCTAGAAATGAAAAATTACCTGACAATAAGAGTTTTTGGTGTAGCTGTAGGTGCCATGTCCCCCATTCATTGGATAGGATTCTGACATTGTGATTGTTTAATAGTATTTAATCAGAAAATAAAATCTATTTTCCTGATCCGCAAGTTATAGCATATAATTTGGACATGAACCTTTATCATATATATAAATATATGTGTGGTTCAATGCAGAACTGTAACGTGAATTCTTAGATAAAAATTTGGTTGGTTTCCATATTCAAGATGGCGGACATTGATTCTGATCTGTTGTGATCAGAATTGGCTTCTTCCGTCTGGGAATATCTTTGGATACTCCTAAGAAACAAGCCTGCCTTCTTGTCAATACCTGAATTGACTTCTTTTTCTATTTGGGGGTCAATGACTGTTAAATCTAATTCCAAACATGATGCCTACCATTGAGAAAATTTGAAGGTTTTTGGCATTAAAAAGGGAAGAAATTTTAGTTTCTTTGGTCTCTAGTCCTTGAATTTTCTTTCATTTCAGAATCTCTCTCCTTTCCAAATATATTAAACTTTTGGATGGTGTCATTTGCAGTTTGGACAGCTGAGATACTTTCTGGTCGTTAATATACAAAGCAGCTGCATATTAATTCAGAGCTACAGACAAAGACTAACCTTTTTGTCCTTGTCATATTGGACTTTGTGTTGCTCTGGCTGCAATTTATTTTCGATTTGTCTTAAATGGCACAAGAAATGACAATTGTAAGGCCAAAAACTTTATGACATCTTAATTTTTATATCTGTTACCGTTTATTCTCGTTCATATCACGTATAAATCATGCCAAATATATAAATCAGTCCACTACACACCAAAGCTATTACAATAATTTATTAAGTTTTCGATTCATATATGATAACACGATGATTTTTAATTACTTGTTGCATTTTTTTTATATAAAAGAGATCGTTAAAATTTAAATATAATTATACGAACCAGTTTGCATTTTGATTTTTGGGTTTATGGTTAACAAGACTAAATGGGTCTATTAAGTGTTATTTCTCCACAAATATAACCATTTCCTGCTGGACGTTTTGTAAAGACCAGCCACAGTAACGTTTGTCACAGTTCCTGACTGTGGCTTCAGCTAATGTAATACATTGGATCTGGCAACTTGAACGTCCGATTACCAGTGTTGGTGCCCAGTAGATCACTCCATTGATCACCTATGTTCCCGACGATTCTATATCCATTTTTCTCCACCTTTTTCCTCTCATTGGATTTGTAAATTACTGACGGCTTTCCTGAATACGAAGGTTCCCTGCAATAAGAAAATGTTATTATATAAGGGATCGAACGAAGCAAAGTAATGGACAAAACACTAAGGTGGGTGACACAAATTTATTGTCTGACGCTTAGGTTTGCTTAATTTCCAGACTATATACTATATTGCGTCCCTCAGGACAATATCGGAGGATGATTATGCTGTTAATTGATAAACTTACTTAAGTACAAGCTTCTCCCAGGTGTGGTATCCGACTTTCTTTAGATTAGCAGCTGTTACACTTCTTTGATCTTCTGATCTTCCTGTTATGAAAACAGCCTTAATCCCCAGAGATAATAACTTCCTGTATAGTCTAAGGCTCTCTGGCAAAGCTGGAGCAGCCCCTTCCATTACCCATTTATTGAACAATGTGGCATTAAATGGCTCCACCCTGAAATTTTCATTCATGTAAAAATGTTAAAGAATTAAAAAAAAATGGTTCAAATTAATTATAATGTGAATGTGAGATGAAAATTTTACTTTTAAAGTTTGTATCATTTATATGTACTTCCGAATTTTGATTGAAGCAAAAATTAAAGCAAGAAATATGCAGAGTATCTGAACCAAAAAAAAAAGGGCAGAGTAAATCATGGAAACTGGTTGATAGAGAATGAGACTTTTGACTCTCCATGAAAACTTTTTAACTATTTTCTTTGAATCTTGGGCTAAGACTAATTAAAATACAGCTACTAATCAAAATTTAATATGCCAAATTATCATGCGATAAATGAAGCAACTAAAGATTTTGTTATTCAAATCGTAAAGATTTACATTCAATTTACGATATATTGTCTGTTTTAATCTAAAAATTTTACAATTTTATCTAAAAAAATCTCTCATAAATATAAATTCAAATCTCCACACACACACATATATATATATCAAATACTCATAATATTTCGAGATTAAAGCATTATAAAAATCCTTAAGGATTAAAGTTGTTTTTGTGTAATTGTTATTTAAAATATATATAATTAATTATATTTTTATTATTATTATTTCTTTAATAAGTTTTTTATTTAAAAAAATATTTGAACTGAAATCTTTAAACAAACAAACATTTGGCAAGAAACTACTATAAATTTCTATAATCAAACAATGTAAATTAAAATGATTAATTCATAATAATATTATTAAGTAATTATATATAATAAAATGCTTGATTACATACCCGAATCCATGCTTTGCATAATAAGGCAAATTGGAGAGGGTAGTCTCATCTATATCAAAGATCCAAACATCTATACCATCTCTGTCCAGCTCGAGGCTTTGAGCATAAAGCAAAGCCTCGTTAACTACAGCTCTAGAGTCTTTCAGATATTGGTGGCCTAGCATGTAATGACCAACATAACCTTCACACACTTGGGGAACAGTTTTCCACCCAATAATGTTGTTAGTTTCAACGCCGAGTCGCCAACTTAGGCATGACAAACCAGGTACAAGGTTTCCTCCGGCACCAGATTGCGGCCGGAGGAGGTGAATTTGGTGGTGGACGTGATCCGGTTGTGATATTGATCCCTTTGAAGTTGTTAGAATGTTGGCTAGAAACAAGACAAGCAGCAATGCCATGGTGTGTTTGTTTTCTAATACTTGGTGATAGCCTGGCTAAGCCAATTTTGCTTCTGTTTAAATATAAGACGATGCAATGGGTCTATTCATATTCTTTAAAAAAAATTTATTGTTCACGTTTATAAAACCTACAATTCACAAATCAGTTATGCAATGAATGTGGAGGGTGACAAAGACCTATTAACTAATTGTTCAGCTTTATTTTGATTAGAGTTGAAAATCTGATAAACTTTTTGTTTAATTTGGACTTTATTGGTTGTACATTTTTAAATTTCTCGCATCATTTGAAGGTTTACTCCTATTTTACTTTTTATTATATAGATTTTGGATTATACTTTTTCTATTTGTTTTTATTTCTTTCCTTTTTTTTTTCTTTTTTTTAAGAGAGAATCTTTCACAATATATTAGAAAATGCATATTTTGACGTTTGGAACAGTAATCTTATGGGTAATCTTAAATGTTATTGGATTCATATGATTCACATTTGATGGATAATATTTTATCACATGGCTTCTTTTTTTAATGGAAATCATTTTCGATATGACTTTCTCGTAATATTTTATTAAAATACAGCCAAGATCTGAAGCTAAAATGATATTGTCAATAATGATTTGCTCTATTAATATTTATTAAAATTTAATTCTTAGCAAAGTCAAGTTCTAAAAAAAAAAAAAAAAAGTTGATATGAGATTTATGGTTGTCCCACTTTTGCAAATATTTTAAGCAATTGTAATATATTTGACAAAAAAAAACAAGACTTATATAAAATTATATAGGTAAAGTTCACGAAATTTTATATTAAAAATGAGTAAATAAAAATTAAAATCCAAAATCAAAATTCATATATTAAAAAATCTTATCACATAAATTAATAGAATAAAATTTGAACAAATTTTGATATATTTATTAAATAATCATTTTTTATAAACATATTAATAAAATTTTTACTGTTGAATAAATATCGATCAAATTTAAATTATAAATAATATTTTTAATAAAATTTTTTATATATTATTAATTTTCACATTAAATTTTATCAATCTATCGATTTGAAATTTTTATTAAAATTTTTATATATTTATTTCTAATAAAAAACTAAACAAATTTCATCTCTAAAACTTTATGTAAGTTTTGTGCTGTTTTACTATACAAATTTATTTAAAGTTATAGAAGAATATTTTGAGAATCTAAGTTCATGATATGTTTTCTAAAGTGATCCATTAGAGCACACCCGCACAAGCAAAGTCAACATGGATATTTGGATTTAAACAGACACGATTCCGACACTTCAACTGCCTTAGATATTCCTTATTTTCAAAGATTTCAAGGCAGGACCATTGGAGATGAAAAAAATAAAAATGGAGAAAAGTTATGGATACATTGAACCGACAGAACTGATGAAATCTAGTGTTGGATTAATTCTCATTTGGTCCATATCATAGTCATTTTCAAGTAATAATTCAAAATTGGAATGAGATTTTGCATTATTAACTAGGCTTAATAAATAATAAGACTTTGTTTGGATTGACGAATAAAGTTTGTATGAAGTGGAATCTTTTGAAAAGTGCCATTTGTTTTTGAAACTAGTATAAATATATATTTTGACTATTTATAAATTTTATTACTTTTATATAATATCAATGAAATTTTTTTATTTCGCAAAAAAAAAAAATACAAGACAAAACTCAGACTCTCATTTTTTTTAAATTATCTTTCCATTATTGCTTTTTCAAAAGCCTTTAATTTAGAGTTTGAACTTCAAAAATTTCAACACCCAAAAACTCATTTACATATAGGTTATACCATGGAATGGCTGCCACACAATTTTTATAAACAGCGTTGACAATTCTTAAAGGAAAAATCCCTTGACAAACAGAAATCCAAAAAAGAGTCGAGGAAAAAATGGATGTGGTCAAGAAAGTCAAAAGCTCTTATCTTTAGTTTTGTTCGCTAGATGCTGCCGACTTTTATAGACCTGGGCGCTCTTTGGCATGACGGGGTCCAATGCCTGGCCGAAGAGAACAAAAAAATTAAGCATAATTATACCTGTTTTTATACGCTATACATACCATGCATCCTAAATACATGGACTATATTTTTACTAGCAGTAAGATACTTATGATTGCAAAAGAAGAATCTCAAAACCTTCTACAACTTCATTGCCATATGCGAGTGTCATTCAACAATGCCAACCTATAGCAAAATTGCAAGGGACACAAATTTATCTGCAAATAAACAGATATAGAATACAGATACAAATACGTATCCAAAAGAAGGTAGGACAGGGAGAGTAGGGAAGAGCATTCTAAGAAGCCAAATGCATTATGTACCTTGTGAGTCATCAGAGAAGGTTTCTAACGGGCTCAAGGCTTGCAGACTCCATATTTCAGATGGAAATGCTTGCGTCACCATTAGGCCCTCCTTATATCACTAGCTTAGCAGTAAACCAAAGAGGCTTCAAAGTCAGAGCCAAAATAAGCACAATCTTCTCCACTCGTGCTCTATTGTATATTATCTATGGAATAATTCACAATGTACCAAGAAATTAATTAGATACTCTCCAACAAAATCATTTGAACAAGATACATCTCCTTAAGGAGCTTCTCCAACCAACCAGCTAAACACACAACCGAACTCACCCTAGCCTTTATCCATAAGTACTTAGAGTCAGGTTTGTAAATCTTTTTCACCCTTCTCACTCATCAAGGGATTAGCTAAGAAGACAAATGGAGGCAAATTTTATCCGTAACCCTTTCTAGTCATGCATTTTGAAAATTTAATCATCCCCATCATCTCAAGGGGCTAACAATCCAACCAGTAATGGGATTTTGCCTGCGAACTTTGAATCTCTTCTGTGGACCACTTTGCAGACGTTCAAGCACTGCATATGTAATTGAATCAGGTGTTAACCCCTGCTGCTTAAGTTTTGTATAGAGATCCACTGCTTCTGCAGTCCTGCCACTTTTCTCAAGACAATCAAGTAAAATGTTGTATGTCACAATGTTAGGATAACAGCCATCGGCAAGCATTTCATCAAATAATGTGCAAGCCATCTCAACTTTATCTGTTTTGCCAAAGCATTCAATGAGAGTGCTGTACGTTACAACATCTGGATTTAATCCTTTCTCTTGCATCTCCTTGAATCTCATGTGAGCTTCATCAAGATTACCATTTTTCCCAAGGCAATTGATCAAAGAATTGTAAGATACAATATCAGGTCTACAATCGCTTTTCTCAAGTTCTTCAAAGATTTTGATAGCCTCATCAACTTTCCCGGCCCTTCCAAAGCTAGAGATTAGAATATTGTACGTAAATATGTCAGGCAAAGGGCCAAGCCGTTTCATGTTTTCATAAAGATCATGAAGATGGGATATTTGCTTCAACCTACCAAGTGTTGAACATACAGTGTTATACATGACTGTATCAGTATCGATTCCCTTTTCATGAATCTTACTTAGCAGGTCCAGAGCCTCAGTTGTTTTACCCGCACTACACAGGCTTTCCAACATTGCAACGTAAGCATCCTTGTCTCCCTTATCATGGAAGTTCCACATGTTGCAAAATAACCGATGAGCCTCACTGGCATGGCCCAGCTTACTCAGCGTCCTTACAAGATATGCATATATTGACCTACTCATATATTTCTTTGATACTTCAATAACTTCATCTAGTTTATTAAGCCGCCCTTCTGCAGCCAGAACATTTAGAATGACACTGTATGTAAATTCATTGGGCCGACAACCTTTCTCCACCATTTTATAAAATATGCTAATAACCTTGTCAACCATCCGCCCATTCGCTAGTGACTGAATCACAGTATTATAAGCAATTACATTAAGAGAACAGCCCTTTGATATCATTTCATCAAAAAGTTTCAGTGATTCACCACATCTACCAAGTTTTCCAGTCAATCTAATCATAATTGTGTACGTATACTCATCAGGCTCACAATGCTTTCGTTTCATGTCTTTAAAAACCATGTAGGCCTGGTCAACCTGTCAAATGCCGTGGATCAGATTATCACTTCAGGGCCCATGAAACTAATACACTAAGTAACAAAATAAAAACTTGATATTAACGCAATATATTTTATTGTTTCCATCATAAATTAGTTATTACCAATATATTTTTCAAAATTATTAGCAGTAAAAGTACCCTACTAACAGTACTGACAAATCTTCCTAACAACTTCATACTGCAAGTAACAATGTTGAAGTTCGAAAACAGAAACACATGCTGATTCAAAGCTTAACTGCTTCCACTAAACTCCAGCCATTAAGCAACAAAATTCAACACCAAATTGATTCACCAGAATTAACAATTTAAAACCCCCTATTATACATTTGCAACAACAGAATAAACGAACGGTATACACCTGTAAGAAATCCTAAAATCTACATATAAAGATGGAGCCACAACAAAGTATGTGGGTCACTTAACCATGAAATTTGGAAACTCCTTCAAAATACATAAGTTAGTTTAGAGAAAATTCTAAATTGACCACACTAACAAGGAAATTTTAGAAGCCAATATGTCTATAAAAAGTTTTATTAGGGGTTGCTCAGGTCATATAATTTTAAAAATTTGAGATAAACTTTAAAAGTTTAATTGTTAGCGGAATATATGGAGACAATCTTCAACAAGTCAACTATAGTATAAGAGCAGAAAATGTTTTGTCTGTTTAGTTTTCCTACAAATATAAAATAAAATAAAATAAACAAAAAGGAAAACAATTCTCTTTTAGCCTTCTTTATTGCCTTATCTGCTTTTTGGAAAAGGAATATAAACAAAGGAAGAAGACATCACAGAAAATTTGGTGCCATAGGTGAAACCAACCTAAAAAATGTGAAAAATAAGTGTCAAGCCTTTTTTGGTACACTTGAGTAAGGTCAAAGAGGAGGGAGAATTTACACTTAAGTTGTATAAACATTTCAAACCCTAATTTCAAATTGAGAAATTTCATTTTCATGTTATAATGATGCTTGAATAGTAAGTTGTTAAATCCACAATCCTCATGATTTTACTTCTAAGTAAGACAATTAAGTTAGAACAAGAGTTACATTTTAGTTATTCCCCTCATTTTTAGTCAAAAAATCAGAATTGATTTTCCCTTCAACCATTGGCTTTTGCTTTTTCAGCAACTATTTAAGAAATAAAACAATTAAGTATTTGGTTTTACACACAAAATCCTAAACACTTGAAATCACCCCAATGCAGCTTAACTCTAAATAAACCAATGCTAAACACTTCAAATTCCTCTAATTCAATCAGAAAAAATAATCAATAACCACAAGAAAACCAAATAAAACTGTGAGAACTAAGAACATATCAATCGATTTAAGAAGAGATAAAAAGATCAAACCTTTTCATCCTTTGCCAAAGCATTCAACAACATGTTATAACAAAACACATCCAATTTATAACCTTTCCTCTTCATCTCCCCATAAACCGAAAACGCCTTCCCGGAGTCATGTGACCTTAAGTAAGCTTGAACCAGGCACTTATATGTATAAGCATTCATCTTCAATGCCCATTTCTTCACTAGCGTCATACAAGTGTCCAAATCCTCAGTGTTCCCGAAAAACCCAATAAGGATATTGACGATGGAGATGTTGCCACGTGTGCCGGACTTCTCCATGTCGTGGAGGAGTGACCGAACGGTGTCGAAGCGGTCGGCGCGCAAGGATTTGGACAGGATGAGGAGGAGGCGGGTGTAGGTGAAAGGGTCGTGGCGGAAATTGGGGGAAAGGGATGGGCAAAAATGGAAGAATTTCAGGGCGAGGGAAGGGCAGTTTAGGGATTTGAGAATGAGGGAGGCTTCATTGGTGGTGAGGGTTGGGGAGAGGGAGGAGACGTATTGGGAGAGGTTGAGGAAAGGATCGGATTGGGATTTGTTGAGGATGTGTGTGACTTTGCAGATGAGTTGGTGGCGTGGTATTGGGTAACCGCGAGAGTCAGCGGGGACGGTAGGTAGGGAGACTTCGGCGGAGAGGGAGCGGCCGCTTGGGGAAGTTGATGTTATTTTGGCTATATATTTGGTGGCGAAGTGGCGGCGGTTAGTGGTTATGACTTGGTGGAAGTGGCGGCGGTAGTGGAGCTTCATGGAGGCTTTTGATTGTACCGCCTATGCTCTGCTCCAGAACCGGTTTTCACTTGAAAATTTGGAGAGAGTCAAGACAAATCCACAAAGGAGTCCATGACAAGCTTAAACGATGGCGTTTCAAGATTTTCCATGGCCAAAGTTGGGCAGCTTAGGTTGAAACTTGCCTTTAAAAATCAATAAATCCTACTACTCCATACATAAAAAAAATTGTGGATTAAAAAATTTTATGAAAAAGTTATTTTTGCAATCCAACCAATGTTTGGATTCTAATAATAGTATTGTAGCATCTAAATTATTAAATGTTATTAGGTACAAATTGATCAAATAATTCATTGGTGTATAAATTAATCCATGGAAGACATTTTTGTATATTAATTTTGAATTTTTTAGATTTTTTCAAAAAATATTTTTTTAATTTTTTAATTTTTTTCACTTAAAAAAAATATGTAACACATGATAGTCACAAGAGTATCATGTGATAATCTATGCATCATCCACGTATAAATATTTATATGCGTATCCAATTTTTATAAATTAACGTTCACTTCACTAATTTTTATTAATGATGATGAAATAAATCAACATATAAATTAAAAGTTTAGGTCCTTGATCGAATTTTTTTTAATACATATATCACATTTCTACCTGCAATCAATCCAAACACACAACAACTTTACACACTTTCGTCAATTCTCAACACAATTACAGTGCAATAAAATTATAAAATCATTCAAGAATTTGAAATCTTAATCTATTTGCGTTTTAGTATGGCAAAAAGCTGAAGTCCATCTCTGTAACACGATTCCATTTGCCCAGAAATCTCTGACAGTTTCGGGACAAGCTGATTGAACAATTCATCAATGGCCTCCCTGGAAAAATGTTTGCTGAACATTCCTTCCATTGCAGCTCTGACATGTTTCACAAATACAGGGATGTCAATGGGACCTTTTAGCCATGGTGCAGGGTTCATCAATTCTATCACCTCCACCGTGAACATTCCATTTCTTTCCACTCCCTCAGTGAATTCTCCCGGTGGGCAAGCATATATAGGCAAGTTGAATGCATCGACATCGGCTTCACTGATAGATCCCTATAACATATATATAGTTTCGAATTCTTAGAAAATTACAAGGAAAAATTAGGAAAGAACCTGTATTGTTATCATTGAAATATTAATTTGGATGGAAAAAAAAATGGTTTTACATACTGTTTTCACCATGTCCATGAGGATGGATCCCATGCAATTGTACATCAAGCCATTCGCAACTTGAGAATAGGGCATCCCGTCTGGAATACTTGAGCCGATAATGACCATCATTCCTCCTGATACAATCTCTTGAGCTCTAGCATTCAAGAAATAATTTAAATCTTCAGCAAATCGAGTTGCATATGCATTTAAAACTTCCTGTGGAGCACTGGTGTAGTGAATCCTGCCTTTGTTCCAAGCAGGAGAATGCTCGTCCTCTAATTCTGTTGGCAGCTTAGATAGCCAATGCAATGAATACGAACAATGGCCTAAATGGAGAGATGATTTAGGCAATACTTGCTCATGGAAAGAACCTGGAACCCCAGCTACAAAGTACTCTTTTTCTTGTGGGAGACAGGTGAAGAGGGAATTAAAATCATTTGTGAATTGATCATTGAAAATCAGTTGAAATTCAGGCACTTGAGATGTAGGACGCTGAGACATATACTTCTTCTTTACAATTTCTAGTAAATCTTGCATAGCATTTATCGTATTTGATCCAACTCCACATCCAAAATCTGCAAGACGGATTATGTTTGAAGCGGAAGACAAGGATTCCACATCTAGCTTCATCATAATTGTATCTTCAATTTTGTTGGTTACAAAGTTTGCTGCTAATCTCTGCAAATGGGAATTACTTTAGAATGGAAGGCCTTCATTTAAATGTTTTTTTCTTTTTTCTTTATGATAACACATACATATTTTTATTAGCACAAAATTAAATATTATTGAATAGCCAAACTCTATACGCTCACGAAAAAACCAATATGCATGAACCAATAGGAAAAAAAAAAAAAACTCATGTAAGATATGTAGCTCAAACTCAAAATCAATTAGTTAAATGGAGCCTTAATCATTTATGTGCATGAGACTTAGTCATTTATATGTGCATGCATGATGGATTCAATAAATTAACTTGGGCATATGCAATATTAGTTATTTATATGATCATGAGACTTTGAAAACTGATCATGCATAAAATTCTTTTTTTTTTCTTCAAATGTGGGTTAGTTAAAATTTCCACCTGGTAGGAGGAGTTGTTGGAGTAGCTGTTATTTCCATGTCCACCGATAACCTGCGTTGGTGAATTCACTGGTGCCTTATCATTATTCTTCTTTGCGACTGAATAAGAAACCAAAGCTGCCATCCCTCCTCTGTTAGTCTCTCTCTCTCTCTCTCTCTCTCTCTCTCTCTCTCTCTCTCTCTCTCTCTCTCTCTCTCTCTCTCGCTGTGTCTTCTTTTATTCTTTAGAAGAGGTCAGAGTATGAGGATCATATATGCATGCAAATATAATTTCCATTACTTTTTGTTTTGCAATATATCATTTTCTAATATTCTTAAAAAATTAAACATATGTTGAAATCATGGGTCCGAGGTGACTCTAAAAGAAAGAGACATGGATATATATGTAGTCTAAGCTTGCTTTAATGTCATTTCAATTTTAAAAATTAAATTGGCTTAGATGGATTGTCCCAATCAATAAGGGAGGTTTGGGATGAGAGCAAGATGTAATTATCAAAAGAGGATTTCAATTTTATTTTTCTTTTGAAAGTTGAGGGATTTTATTTTGATTTTGTAAACTCCATTTTTTAGGTAAAGAAACACATATATTTACATTAATTTCAAATGTTCAAATACATGTATAGTATGACTAACATACATGGATGATATGATTATTAACTTGGGAGGAAAAATGAAAGAAAATAAAAACGATAGTAGGAAAGGAAAAGAGAAGGGAAGGAAGAAAAACGAGTGCAAAAATAAAAGGATTTATATATCTTTAATCCCCCCTCGTTAAATTTAGTACAATAGAAAAAAAATGAAGTTAAATTTAGTACAATATATCTTTCCCATCCTTTTTCCTTCTTTAATTTCTCTCTAATTTTTTTAACAAAGTTAAGTTTTTGTAATTATTCATGCAAAAAAAATTATTTTTTTAATTAAAATTTTAATTTAATTCATTCATATAATTACCATTAAAAGAAATCATTTAACAAATTTAATATTCAATCTCAATGCTTATAATTCTTTATTCTATTCTCAAATTACAACTTTTTTTATATCAAAAAAATTATTTTTTTCAAGCAACATCGTTCATTATATATATATAAAGGCAAGTGTCTTCAGTAAAGGACCACAATAAAAAAAAAACAAGGAATAAGCATTAAGGACCACAATATATATTGATTGAGACATAAGATTAGTATATTTCCAATAAATTTTTGCAACATCTATGAAATGGATCGATTTCGTTGTCATGCATATTGACTAATTAGAAATGATATATCGTCTTCAAATTTGTATAAATAAAGATAAAATTAAGTAATGTTAGATTAATCTTCGGCCAAAATCATGGCACCTAATTTCACTAAATAAATGGAAGCCCATATCTTGGCTGTGGTCCATAAGATCTGGCTTGCAATCTTTAAAATTATAAAATGATGCTAGGATAGCTAGCTTTTGTTCATTAAATTAAATGGGCTTTTTGACGTTCAATCACTTGTCACTTGTTATTTGTCACTACATATTTTTCGTTGGAAAAGATGATTCAATTCCGTCCAAATTCGTGGAGAAAAGGTTCTCTCTTTCAGACGGAATTTTTGATAGATTAACAAGGCAGCAAAATCTCACATAGCTAAAAGTAATTTTTCATACATATGAAAAACTCATTGAGTTTTGTAATATACAATGAGAATTTCTTTTCGTTTCATACATAAATCTCATTCTTCCTCTCAAGATTTAAATTAAAGATATTTGATATAAAGGACTTAATTAAGCAAACAGAAGTTAGTAATTGCTTAAGATAAGAGAAGTAAAATGCACCAAATCCTTTTGAGGTCTGTAAAATATTTCATTTTCATCTATAATTTTTTAAGTTTAATTTTTTATTTATGATTTTTTTAAGTGTTTCAAATTCATTCATTTCATCAACCACTTTTAAAATTTTAACAAAATATGTCACATCAACTTTGCATGAATTTTCATATGACATAAATTTTAATTCAAAAAGTAATTGGGATCGTTTTTTTACCACGTAAACCTCCACATGAATATACATTTGACTATGTTGGAAATTTTTATCAAATTTTAATGATAATTAATTATTAAAATTGATGAATTAGAAATATTTTTAGAAAGTCATAGTGCAATTTAATTACTTAAGATGTATATAAGGATTTTACCACAACATAAACAGCCAGTAAATTGAGTAGGTTGGGACTTGGGAATATCGAGAAAGCAGCATGCATTCACATACAATTGTTATTGGCAAGAAATGGTGATAATCATTTATAAAACCCCTCATTTTCGTATTAAAACAACTAATAGCTGAGTTCGTTCCTTGTAACCTGATTCCACCTGATCGGAAAACTTGGATAGTTTTTTGGTCAGTCGATCAAACATTTCATCAATAGTATCACTGCTAAAGTGTTTGGTGAACATTCCCTCCATTGCTGCCCTTACATGTGTTACCCAAGCATTTATATCAACTGGACCATCTACCGAGGAAGCAGGGTTGGTTAACTCCAAACTTTCAACGCTAAAATGCCCATTTTTTTCTACTAGAGCGGCCATCTCCTCCGGAGAGGGAGTATAAATCGGCAAGTTGAAGGAATCCACCTGATCTTCACTTATCAATCCCTGCATGTATTAAAATATTTTCTCATGTCAATTATATAAAAGCTGAAGCCATTTAAAAATTACTAGCGATTTGGGGTCAGATTTTTTTTTTTTTCTTAATACAGTGAGAAGTATCTTCAAATTTTATTTGGATCTAATTTTCTCATTGAAAGATTTTAAGAACGTATTCTCTCACATCAGTCTGACGCATTCAGAATTTTAATTATTATTTTCAAAATAATTCCCACAAATTAAACTCTTGATTGTTGTCAAATGAATCAAAAGATGCAAGGCTTAATTAATTCCTCTTAGTAAGCATCTTATGCCCACATTGATCAATCATGAGATTATGCTTTTCCCTTTTTCTTTTTTAAATTATTTATATGATTTGGAAAAGGGTATTTTAATTAATTTTACACCAAACTCTGAATCAATTATGAATTAAGATATGAAACCAAACTTCCCTAAATCGTCAATATTTTTTATCCTTCAAATTCTATTTTTCATTTTTTCTAATTAAATTTCTGATATTCTTCAAAATGGGATGGTTTTATCGAATATATAAAGGCCTTCACGCTGTAATCACTAATCTATATATATTGGATCGCTTACCTCATTTGCCATATCCATGAAGCTATATGACATAAAATCATACATCAGACTAGCTGCCAGTTGAGAATAAGGCATCCCATTGGGAATACCTGGCATGATCATGATCATCATCCCCCCAATCACAAGTTCCTTCGCTCTAGCGTTTAAAAAGTTCTCCATGTCCTTAGCAAATTGAGATGCATAAGCATTGACAACTTCGTTGGAAGCATTTGTGTAGTGAATCCTCCCCTTGTTCCACGCAAGAGAATTCTTGTCTAACAACTCTTCCGGTACTCTCGAAAGCCAATGGAGTGCATACGAACAATGCACAAAATGAATGCAGGATTCCGGAAACAATCGGTGATGAAAAGAGCCAGGCACGCCGGCAGCAAAATATGGCCTTTCCGGTGGAAGAGATTTGAAGAGTGTGTTGAAATCGTTGGAGGGTTGATCATTGAAAAACACCAGGAATTCGAGCGTTTTAAAATTAGGGCATTGGAGCTTGAACTTGTGTTTAATAAAGTCTAGAAGATCTTGCATGGCAATGAAAGTATTTGGCCCAACTGCACATCCCAAATCTGCAATACAAATTGTATTCGATGTAGAAGAGAGTTTTTCCACATCAAGCTTCATTGTAATTGCTCCATTAATTTTTTCCTTAACCACATTTGCAGCTAGTCTCTGCCAATTGTGACCCATATTATCAAAGTCAATAAGGTGGGAGTGGTAATTAATTTAGACGACAAGTATATTCATCAAACCAATTCTATGCATTCATCATACTTTGTAATAATACCCCTCTCCTTCATTACCTTGAAAGAAGTGAAAATTTTCAAATCACATACATACATATTATATATATGTATGTATATATGTATATATAAATAAAAAAAATATTATTACAAAAAATATTACTCCCTATGTCACATGTACGACATATAGAAGGAGAAAATTAAAATTTTAAAAAAAAAAAGCAATATTGATTGGTATAAACAAAGAGTTGTCCAATCAAAAAAATGGAAATAGATGTGTCCGTCCGTAGGGTTCTAGGTTTTAGTATAGAATCTTAATATATATATATATATATATATATATATAAAGAATCTTCCATTAAACTGACCAACGGTTATGGTTTCTCGAAAGTGAGCCAACTTACAAACAAAATTTCCGACTGCCTGTCTACAGAGAGTTTATGTATTTACAGTTTCTTGTCTTAAAGATATTGTTTTCGTGATCTGAAATTGATCATCAGAATATATAGTGTAATTCCATCGAGGGCTTATCGGGTTTAAATTTATACCTTGCCCCAAGGTTAAAACCAAGGGGAACGAATTCAGATCACATAAGTTTTAACCGTAGCTTTGAGCCGGAAACTGTTTATACATGCATGCAAGAATGCTTGCATGATTTCCATGGAATATTTTTGATCGAGGCATGAAAAACTAATATATCAGAAACTGAAAGAGATATACCTGATAGTAGGAGTTTCTGGTGTAGCTGTAGGTGCCATCTCCACCGTTCACATGGAGGGTATCTGGAAGTGGTCGTCTGACGCTTTCGCCGCCATCGATGAGTAGGGATGGATCCGGCGCTATCTTTGCCATGGCTGCAGAGAGTATCATTGAACAAGGTTCAGTGAGAGATTTGTCTCAAAATATATAGAAAAGGACTATAGGAGAAAGGACTCGTGGTACCAATACCATACTAGATACCATCATGGAGGAATGCTTACTATATTGATCTTTTTTAATTACAATAGGGTTGTCCTCAAGCTTTTCATAATTAACTAATTCTTTTCTTGAATGATTTTAATGTCTCACTCCCTAATATCGACTATATATACACAAACACACGAATGAGAATGTTCAAGTGGAGAAGAAGAGATTAATTTGATATATATACATATGATTACAACTTTCATAATTATAAACTTTTAAAACTTTTTTTTCTACTTTCTTTCTTGACTTTATGAATTAATAATTCTGGTACTTTTAGTCCTTAAAATATATTTACAATAGTGTAGAAGTTTGAAACTAAATGAAAATAAAGTTCCTTTTCATTTGCAAATTAATTCTAGTATAAATTCAATAGCAAATTACAATGAGTTCTTTTACATATCTTTAGGGAGATGCCCTAGTAGTTAGGATTTTACCTTGGATGTCACGAGTTTGAATTTTGAGATAGGTGATATATATGATCAGTGGAAAAAGATTTTCTTATAAAAATGTAACTTGAAAATTATGGTAAAAAAATTATTATTGTGGTTTAATAACGTGAATGATTTAAAACAATATAAAAGTATATATTGCTGTAAAACAAAATATTAAAAATTGACTGAATGTTGTTAATTTGAGAAAGGAAAAACTAAACAAAGGCCTAAAAATATTATATGCTCTAGCTGTACTTCAAATGCAACCAAGGAAGGGTTAAGAATCACTAGTTTGGTATTACGAAATTCCATAAAGAGACTTCTTCTCTTACAAAATTAAAAGCTAAACTTAGGAGATCTTAATCCATCGGAATAGGGATATATATAGAAGAAAACTCCCAAGGGTCCAATCCAAATGAATGCAAACCAACGATTACGAAACTAATTCTCCAATTAAATTTTACTAAATATTTTCAATAGCTTCGACTGAGATATTAATAAATTGGTGCCATCAACTGGCAAATGATCCTGTACTATTAGATAATCAACCCCCAGCCTCAATTTAGCAAAGAACCTTAGCTAGGTTATATATACATACATACATGCATAGTCTCTAATATTTTTTATCGATCATAACTTTTACCTTCATAACTTTTATTTTTCATCTCTCAAATGATAATCTTTTTTCTTTGTACCGTTTAATAGAATCATCAAGCAATTCATGCTTTGTATTTCTTCAAAATCTAGATTGTAAAAGTGGCATCCGATTTCCTCGAACCAATTTATGCAAAGAATCAGATCCTCAGTGTAAGTTAAAGGGAAAAGATATTTTTGATTAATAAAAATTATTCTAATTCCACTGTTAAGGTGTATCAGATCCTATATAAACATCACTTAAGTACTATTACAAGACTAGCCATTAGAAACAAAAAGCATTCTCGTATTCTAGTTTAAGAACTTCTTTTTTTTTACTTGATGCTTTTTACATAATTCCTTTTCTTTTTCTTCAATTTTTATGTGGGGGGAAAAGGCGAACTTTATAGAAAAAGGAAAAAGGCAATTAAAGAGAACGTATACCCTAAAAACGAAAGAAACATCAAGAAGAAAGAGGTAGGCATTGGTCAATGGTCCGAGCGTTGCTAAAAAAAATTAGTAATAGTACAAAAGATTCTAAAATAAAAGCATCCACTTCATAGAATAAGATAGAAAATTCATTATTGGTAGACAATCAATGGACTGCAATCTTTTATGAGGCATGCGTAAAGTCTATTAATTCATTTTTTTTCAACTTTGAATTCAAACATTTTTTTGTGGTCATATGACAGGAAAGCCACAACGGATCTGTAACTATTCCCATGTTCTTTCGAATAAGGCCAACTGTTAAATATTTCATTATTCCCACCAACAGTTTTAAGAAACTCCCTATATATGAACCCTAGCTACAGCTATAAGCTAGGCATATAGCTACTAGCTTATAGCTATAGCTTTGGTTACAGCTTGTCATCTTTTTCAAATATTGATGCAATTCTCATTTTTTTTTTTTGTTATATCATGAGACAAAGTTTCAATATAACAAAAAGAATCGGAAGAGATTTGATTCAAAATTAAATTTTTAATTTTTTTTAAGTATTTTTAATCATTAGATTAAAAATTTGGGAATGCAATTTTCAGTTCATACATTATCAATTGAGCATTTAGCATTGTTACTCATCTTACATTTATCCAATATATAATATGATATATATTTGCATTTATAGCCAATGTTTTATGACTTTCGATAAAATGATGGATTTTTAGTTTCATCAGTTAAAGTTAATTTTTATCATTTCAAATATAAAAAATATATATTTGCATTCATAGACCCTAACTTGCAATTTCCATAAACCAATATTCATGAGGGAAATTGCTGCAGACTTTGTAGTTTATATCTTGGAGAATGGCAATTCCAGAGTGACAGAATATCTCTTGGAAATGTCTAATCTTAAGTATATAAATTAATCCTGAGCCATAATCCTGAGCTATGATTCATGATAAACAGGGCATCACATGCCTAAAATGATGAAAAAAACATTAGATTTCTGAATTAGTAGCAGTAGCTGCCTGCAAGTCTACCCGAGCTACAGGTAATACAGAGTGATCTGTCGAGGATAATCAAAACAAAAGAAGAACTAGTAAAATACAAAGTGAAAATGTAGATAAACGAGGCAACTGAGCTGGAAACCGGCCCTGGGAAGTGGGAACCATTAGGGTTAATGTTGGAGTTTGGAAAAAGCCACATTTGTGTCTTCTAAAAGTCCCGCTTGATAACTCAAAGGAGACACACAAGACGACAACAACAATTCATTTGGTTTATAAAATCAATCAATACTTTTAATTGGGTGGTATTTCTCAAGCTATATATATGTACCTATATATATAGCTCACTCTTTTAAAGTCACGTAGGGCTGATCTGGACAACATGCACAACGCAATCAGTGTGATTTTTATTGGTGTTTACACCAAGATCGATGATATCTATGGAAATTTTTATTATAAAAGTATATATTTAAAATATAAATATGCGCGCTTGTATGAGTAGTATTAATACTAGTAGAAATATATAAATCAAGATAGACCCAAATGATTTTTTTTTTTTAAGACATAAAGCACTAACGAGACCTGAGTCGAACTAGGGCATTTGTACTGGTCGTGATAGGTTGAGCCGGGGTTGGTAAGGATAATGAATCGGGACCAATCACATGTAGGAAATAGACCGGCAATACTCTCACCTTCTGCTCCACGACGGTGAGGTCTTTTGTTTCTTTGGGAAAAGGATCTTTGATGCCAAGATCTTCTAGGGGACGCAGCTACGAACGTCATTTTGTCCTTGCCTGCTAACTTATCATTTGACGATATAGCGTAAATAAAATCATCCGCCTACACTACTAGCAGGAAAGAAGGGCCAGCAAAGGGGGTCAAAAGATTCGATAGTTCAATCTTCTATTAAATAAAATTTGATATTTGAAAATTTTTTTATTTTTTCTAAAAATTTGAAATGTTAAAGTGTTGCTGCAATTTGACTACTCGCAAGAAATAAATACACATAAAGTTGTTATTTATTTCTTTATTGTACTCAAACAATTGAGATCAGAAAGAAAAATAAGATATTTTTTTCCTTTTGGGTACATGGAAATACTTTAATAAACATGTTAGCTAGTTTATTTTTGAAAATTATTTTGTATCTAGTAAAAATTGGAGTCAAACTTTTTTTAAAAAATTTAATTTTTATCAAAAAAAAAAATTAAGGTTTAACTTTTATGCACAATCACTATATTCGAATGAAAAATGAAAGCATTAAAAAAAGTCACTTCTACACCTAAAAAGAAGCGGGATTTTGATTGTTGAGTCTAGTAGAAAATTTTCGATGGAAAAAATTCCCTTGCATTCTTGCAATTAATTACTTATTCATATGTTTATCTAATACTTACTAACCTATATTAATATTAAAATTTATGAATGAGTTGGAGTGAAACCAATTTGGGTTAATTAAAGAATTGATAAAAAAAATCATGAAATAAAAAATATAAATTAATAAGGTTATATTTTTAATTTACTTTTCTTTTAAAAAATAAAAGCAAAATGAGAATCTGAATTTGGAAATCCACTTTCCACTTCTTCTTACTTTTTTTCCATTTTAAAAACTTACACCTTAGTAATCCACCTTTTAATCACTTTTACATTTTAAGATAATTATGAATTGATTGGGTTTGATGTGTAGTATGATCGTAACATATTTTTAAAGTTAAAAGTGAAGTTGTATAAAATAATTGTAAGACCTGCATTATTATATGAAATTGAGTGTTAGGTTATTAAAAAAATATATAACAAGAAAATAACCATAAGGGAAATGAGGATGTTTAGATAAATGTATGATAATACTAGATAAAATAAAATTAGAAATGAAGAGATTCAAAAAAAATTAGAGGTAATCTGAAATAAAGAAAAGATGAGTAAGGGTTGTTTGCGATGGTTTGAACATATAAAACATAGATCTAATTGTGCACCGATTAGGAGAATTGAGTTTCTAAATCTAAGAGAGATCAAAACATTTAGAGATAGACCACGAAAGATATAAATGTAAATAATAAAAAATAATATGATGATTAAAAAATTAGATGAAAAAGTGATCGTTAATAGAAATGAACGATGCAAAAAGATTCAAACTACAACCTAACTTCATTATCTTATTTGATTTTCATATAACCATACCAAAGTATGAGATATAAGATTTGATATGTTGTTGTATCTAAATATTAAAATTTTTATTTATTTCACCCAATGTGTATAAGACTAGTTAATTATAAAACCCTTAACTGAGTTGACATCACCAGTCAAGTATACTAAATCAATTAGAAAAATTGGAAAAAAAAATCATCATGTAATTAAAAATATAAATTTAGTAATATTATTTTAATCTTTCACAGTTTCACTTTTTTAAAAATACAGTTTAAATCTTTTTTCTTTTAAACTTACATTTTATCTATTTTAAATCTTCCAAATAATTACATTTATATTTATCTTTTTAATATAGAAAATTGCTTATTAGTTATTACTTCATGGGTGTGCCAAAGACAAGTTTATAATTAAATAAGTTCTCAAAATTATTTATCAAAAAAATAATAATTTCTTACAGTTAAAAGGTGTCTATGGATATGGGCTTGGGCTAGCTTTGCTATAATTTGCCTAAGCCTACTTGGGGTGGGAAATTTGTTGGGCTCAAAAAGTTTGGTTTAATTCTTACCTGTTCCACTTTTCAAAGGTCTACAACTCTAGTTTTCTTTGCCACAGATAAATATTTTATATTTTTAATTCTTTCATTAAAAATTCCTTTCATTTATTTATATAATTTAAAACCCCCTAAAATTATTTTAAAAAAAACTTAAAAACTACGTATGAATTTGGATGGTAAAGGAATATCAAGAATATATAAGTTTTAAGGATATGTATGATGTTTTCTTCACATTGCATATAACAAAAAATATATAAATATTATATAAAAATGAAATGAAAGTGTAAACTAGATGTTCTATAATATTACTACAAAAAATTAATTAATTCAATTAAAAATATTTGTAGATTTTTATATATACGTTTTACAGGAAACTACACATTTAATTTCCTAAACAATTTTCATGTGACATATAATAGAGACATGTGGCTTCCAACGAGGTGAAATCCTTAAAAAAAAAAAAAATCAAAACTGAAATACAAATTTCTCTATCAATTGAAAGTTGAAACCCCAATTAATAATCTTTAGCTAACATGTAGTATTTAACAAAGAAAACTTTACGTGCAAACTTATCTTCCCTTTCTCCAGTTGTAGCCTGGCACCGGTAACAAGCCAATACCCCGGACTATCCTGAGGCCCTTTGCATAATTGCGAGGTTTCTACAAACTTCAATAGCTTTGGTGTTTGAACAGGCACTGGTGGCCCTGTTGGGTACACGGCGGAATCCACCACAACCGCCACCTCCTTTTTCTTTGACAGGGTTGCCTGTTAAGGATTGGCTTATGGCTGAAAGTAAACCAGACCTTTGGGAAAATCCAGAGGCGGCTTGTGCCCAACTTGACTGAACTAGAAATGAACCGGAGACCTTGGAAAACAACAGTCTAAGATGGAGAACACTCTTGGAATCACGTTTCTTTACATGCAATTGAGCACCGGTGACGATGAAGACAACATCCTTGCCAGCAGTCCATTTTGGGTTATATTTAACTGGGGCTGTGCATATATGAGAAAATTTTTTGCGATGGATAGCTTCGAAGAATCGAATATCAGCTGTATCTTCTGATGCTTGCCAGTATTGTATGTCGTCCATCTTGTTTTCCAATGTTTTTGGTAGATTCGATAGGTGTTGAAGGTGAATAGCTAGCCTGAGATTAAATCAAGAAAAGCAGAATTTTACTTTAAAAAAATTCTATTTAATCACTCACCCAAGTAAATTTCACAGCTAACCGATAGCAGTTGTTACCTATTGCATTTCATGCCCTCAAGATACAAGCGCATCCCAGTTACAGGTCTCATCCCTACTGTGACCTGATATTCAGAGCTAACACTTGTTATTGGTATTTTTCCAAGGTATGAAACACGAAAAATTAGATTGAAATTTGTTAGAACACTGGCATTTTTCGCATTTCTAAGTACCAATGCTGGTTGAATATATATGTTGCACCACAATCATCATGATGAAAGGGTTTCTGGGTATGAATGTGGAGGTTTAGATGTACCTGAGAAGTGTTTACATAAAGCTTAGGACCCAAAAAGTTGAAGTGAAGAGCTGGTGATGAAGAAGCCCTATTTGGGGAAGGACCCAAAGGAAGGTCATTGTGAATGGGAGCCCAAATCTTGTGTGATTGGAAGTCAAGAAAGTACTGCAGATCCCCTATAGGAGGCTTGTCTGCAATTACATAAAATTCAGGAACAAATCAACATAATTAAGTTTGAAAAAAGAATGTGTAACTTAATTTTGGAAAATATAAAGAAATTTTTTTTTATGAACTGTTGAGTTTAAGATCAATGATAGGGCTTCGGTTATGCATATCCCTTTGCATATGGTTTTGCATTATAAGTGACAAGGAACAAAAACTTACATCGAAGGTATAAATTGATGGCATGTGATAAGAAACCTTTGCCAGCGACACCTTTAAGGAGAGAAGTGATGGGAATGAAGTTAAAATTAATGGCATCCGGCATTCCTGCAACTGTTGGAAGCCACTCACAATGGCTATTAGCTTCTGGGTCACCTCCCCTCTTTGAACATATAACAGTGATTCCCTGAAAAACCCCATTCACTTCCTTATTAATGCCTTAATTAGTATTCAAGCATACTAACATACATTTAACGACTAATAATTATATGATCTGTTAGTAAAATGTTAATGATTAGAGTTTAATTCTTAAAGGCATCCAATATAAAAATATATATACACTTAAATGACCTAGCTAGCTGTTCTTAGCCAATATAATATCTTCAATCCTAGATGTTATCACATTCTATAACATTGAGAAGAAAATTTTAAATAGAAATTAGTTGGACCTACATCTTTGGTACAGATGAAGGGGTAGCGATTGAAGGCAACAGGTTGTTGATCAAAGAAATTGAAAGCCTGCGGTACCTGTGCAGCACAAATAGGAAAAAAATAAGTCAAAAGAAACAATCGACCAATTTATAACATTTCTCTATAAAAAGAATGAATCAAAATTAAAACCTTTTGCTTTTGCTCTTTGGTGTTGGGTGTATAGCTGCAAGTCCCTGTAAATAATTGGTCTCCAAGAACATCCAGATGTTTTTTGAGCTGTGAAGGCTCCAAGTTGGAAGATTTGTCTTGCCTAACCAAAACCACATCTTGGCCACCAATGCTTAACCCCACAATGACATGAGTCCCGTATTTCTCAATGAATCTGCCAAATAATTTCCAAATTTCGGAGTTGAATTTTTGCAAAGGATTAATTTAACATTCAATGGATAAAATGCACATCATTTAACAATTACTATGACAATTTCATAATTGAGTTTTTAATAAATAAAGAAATTAATTAATTAAAAATCTTCTGAAATTACGGCCAACTGCTAACCTACCTTCCAAGGTCTACTTTCAATTGTCAACCACATGCTAGGCCAAAGTATAATTTCTAGGATTTTTTTTTAATTATTATTACTTAAATTACACCTTACCATAAATGAAAGGTACTAAACAGGAGAGCCTTGAATTGTTTAGATTTCTAGAATTTGTCATTTGACATACCAGATTTTTTTATTTTTTTTTACATTTTTGCATGAGCAGACATGGTTTTTTCAAGCAGACTGAACTGTCTAATTTGCTGGCACTTGACTTTTGGGCTTTTCTGGCAGCTGATATTGTTGACTTTAACTAAAAATCCAAAAGTGGACCAATTCCTATGGGGATAATTTACTGGTCAAACAAGGAAAACTTGCCCATCTTTACTTTTGACACAAATTCTAATTTGACCCTAGAATTTTGCAATTTCTTTACCAAGAATTTTTTTTTTCCTAACATACGAACTGTCGTTGTTAATTGTATTACTTATTGATTTTTGATTTGGTTGCTGGATATTATTCTTGTCTTTTTGGATGAATAAAATACAACATTTATTTTTTAAAAAAATTAAAGATTCAAACCTTAAATTTCATCCCTTACAAGGAGGTGCAACAGTTAGGTCTAGTATTAGTTACTTAATTATGATGCTTTTACCGATTTTATATTCAAATTTTTGTTAGTATAAAAAATGAAAATGAAAGAAAAGGTCAAAGAACTAATGAAATAAGAAAAAATAAAATTTTTATCATTTAATTTTTATGGAAAAATAATTATGGCTTTGGATTAATACCAAAACAAAAAGAGTGTAACACTTATGAATGTTCAAGAAGAAATTAAATTTCTTTTATCAAAATTTTCTTTTTTTAACATAATGTTATCAAATTTTGTTTAATATGCTTGGTACTTGGTAGTTTCAAGATCCTTATAATTGAAAAACATTAAAAAGAGAGAGAAAAAAAAAAAAGAAGAATAAACAAGGATTGTCAAATTCCTAGTTGAGTAAATAGAAATTAGTAGTTATTAATTACCAAAATGCAAAACATATATTAATATGCAAGGCAAGAATATTTCAACTTCATTATTATGTAAATAGCATATCATCATAAAGTCAACTTAATACTACAAAATTAGCAAATTATATAGGCAATTACATGAACATAAGGCCTTAAGAATTGAACATTCTTACCGCAGAAGCTTAAGCTTTGACTGGAGCATAAATAAATTTAAAAAAATTAAGAAATAGAAACCTAAAGTAAAGGCTTCAAAATAAATGCAATTTATGAAAAGATACACCGAACATTTGAATCAATGGCAAGTAAATATATTTTTCGTCAAAAAAGATTGGTATTTAATTTATAAAAAAGTATATTCGAATATTTGATTTAATGATAAATATATCTTTTTTTTTAAATTTGAATTCAATCCTCCTTTCTCAAATGAAAAAAAAAAATGATGTGAGTAATTAACATTCAACAAAACCAAACCTTAATTGTTTTCACATTTTGTTACACTGTTAATTACAGCATACGAGAAAAGATATCAAGTTGGTCACATCAAAAGTTGAAAGTTATCCAATTAGCTTTGACATTGAAAAGTTATATATGGTACAATTATTTTGATCGGTTAACTTTCGAAATCTTCAATTTTCTGGACTTCAACACTATGAAAGACCTCAACAAAGGAGTTGGAAAAGCTTTTTATAGATGATAAATGAATTTAATACGTGTGAATGTTACTATGATTTTTCTTAGAGTGAAGACTGCCATGGTTACTCTCACAAACCAAATCAATAAATGTGGCTATATATAACATTATTATATGCCTTCAATATCAAAAGGAAAAGTCCACAAAATAATTGAAAAATGAAACGGCATTTCCTATAACGTCATTTGCAAGAATGAATACAATGAATTCTATCTAAAAAAACGTTTAAATAGTCTTAATTTAAATCAATTTCTCCTCTTTCTTGTCCTTTTGTTTACTTTTTTTTTTTTTTTGGAAAAATATTATAATTAGATTCGGTATCTCTATTCAATTATTTTTTATATATGATCATTATAACTAAAAATTCAGAATTTTATTGTCAATTATCTCAGCACGCCACACTTTTTGGGTTTTTTTCATTGTTAATTTTTTATTGAAAAACCACCCAATATTGTTCAGGAAAAACATTAAAAAGAAGATTAAATAAAAAAATATAGCATAGTAAAATAAAACCATTAATTACGTACCTTGCTAGGCCACAAGGATCCCAAGCGGATGGAACAGCATTCAGAACTTCTTGAGAGAGAAGGAGGGGATAGCGATCAATATGAACATTGAACAATATGATGAAATATCCATCAAGTCCCAAGTATTTGGTATTGGCTGCATCTTTTGCCCATGAACCGCTTTGGAAACCAAACATTGAATTGAATAGCCCTGATGGAATTTTCCCCGGAAGACTACTTTTCTGGTTGAAAAACTCCGCCATCTACACACAATTACACAGCAGTCATGAATTTGAGAAAAAACATGGTAATGAAAATTTTAAAAAAAAAAGATCAGGTTCAGTTCTTGACAAATTTAAGTATAATATATATATATATATATATCAAATACCTGATTGAAATCAAGAATATCAGACTGATAACGAGTATGATCGCCTTTGTCGCATTTGATATCAACAGGAACATCTCTGATAGCTCCAAAACCAGGTATGGCAATCTCTCTTCTCTCTGTTTCATTGAGTAAAATCAGCCTTTCCTTGCCCTTGCAATACTTGAGTCGAAAATCCGATGTTAAATCGAATCCTCTTCCCAGGCTGCTAAGGGCCTTCTCCACAATTCCATTGCCGCTCATCTCTCTTAATTCTTTCCCTTTCAGAAGAGAAAAAAAGATAATCAAAGATATAAAATTGAAGAGCGTAGAAAAAGTTTGGGGTTAATTATATACAAAACATGAAGACTGGGTATAGTTATAAATGTGGGTGAGAACACTGTGAAATGGTACAATTGTAATGAAATAAAATCCAGGAAGTTTCGTTTTGTTTCGTTCCATTTCTTGCTTACGATCTTAGCTTTGACTGCTTATCTTTTTCTTTATTCCATTTGTTTTTTTCTGCTATATTTATATATAAAATAATGATGCTTTTCTATTTATCATTTCACACTAATGGCTGGCTTTAATGTTAGTCCAAATAAGAAGGGCATTAATTGTCAATGTTCAACGTCTACTATATATTTTGAAAACCAACAGCTCCAACATATTGCGTACGCACGATTCAATTGTTTTTTTCCATTGTAAGTTATCCGGCTATTGTTCATTTATCTTTAATAGTTTTTTTTTTTTTTTACTGTATGATGAGATTAAAAAATTTGAAAGTAATCATTTCTATATTGACTCATAAATTTTACTTTTTTTTAACTTTCAAAAAATAATTTTAGATAAATATGTTTTAGAGTTGGACTGTCTACTTTGATTTGGTGGTCTGCGCCGGTAGGTACTATCGCATGATCAAATTTTAATCAGTCTTGAGATAAATTTTTTAATTATTAATTTAATTTTGATTTGATTTATTATTAAATTAATAAATTAATTTTATTTAATTTTAATTTTAAAATATGTTTAAAATATTTAAATATTAATATTTTAATATATATTTAAAAATTTTCAAGTTTTTGAGATCCGAACCTAATTAAAAATAAAAAATTTTAAAAATCAATTGAATTTAAGTCAATCTATAAATAAACATAATTTTAAATTTTAATTATTAAAATATTTCCTTCAATAAGTTTTTGGTATAGTTTATAGGGTTGGCTCGGGGGAAATTTAAAAAATATATATATATGTAATTTTTAAAAAAGGTTTTTTTTTAATTTCATTTAAAAAAAAAGAATATATTTTTGTTGAGTGTGAATAGAAAAGACATGTTTACATATACCCTACTTGGATGAGGTTGGAATATTGATTTTTAGTAAAAAGCATCATATACGAACCTTATCCAATATGCGTCTCATATGCCCACTTGAGAAATTGAGCATCCAAATTTTCTTACATGGTGGAAATTAAATTTGAAAGAAAAAAAAATTACAATTAAATCACTTAAAAATTATTGAAAAAATATATATTTTTATGTTAAAACAAATTAAAATATAAAAAAATCTCATTTAATACTACATCTGTCTTTTTTTATTCTTTTTTAAATATATCAAAATTATGTCTTTTTTTTTTTTTACACTTAAAATTTTTTTATATTTCAAAGTTATTTTTCATTTTTTTTTACTTTTTAACATTAAAAATATGGAAAATCAATTTTTTGAAAAAAAAATTAATATTAAATACACTAAAGTTAATATTTTTTTCTTAAATTTCATGAAAATCAATGAGGAACAAATCAATAGGGATGGAAGGTGTATTCGAATTTAAGTCCTCAAAATTTTTCAAATTTTAGCTATTGAAATTTGAAATATCTTGTTTTTTTTATACAAAAAAAAATTAAGTGTAGAGAGATTAAGGTCAAAAGAATGTTGCAGATATCAACAAAAATTTATATTAAATTTATATATTATCTATCGAAAGAGATCACTAATTATGAAAATCAAATTTAAATCTTACAAATAAAATATCGATTTTTATCAACTCAGATAACTTGCAATATCTTCTCAAAATTATAATCACACCCTTTACTTGTGTATGACAATAAAATAAGAGATACGAGAAATTAAGGAAATTTGAACTGTTAGCAAGTTACTGTTTTGGAAAGTACATTCCAAGATAAGAAGAAAATATCCATTTGCAAATGTAATTTGAATTCAATGAAAAATATTTTTAATAATCATGAGGGTAAACATATTATTAGTAAACAATTTTGTGACAAATGTAGGGTTCTATTATATTCTCCATTGAGCAGGAATTGACCGGTTCTTGCCACTATTTTATTTGCCTAATTATGGTCAAATGATGACAAAAAAGCCTACATCCAAAAAACCAAATAATTGGGGAGAGAAGATCAGATCTATTGACATATTATTACCAACTTGAAAGCATTAGCTACAAAATTGTCCTATTATTAGAATTTCTCTATCATCATCATCATCATCATCTTGAAGTGATCAATTTCCAGCAAATCTTCACATTACTAATCTTTGGATTTGTTGTCATTGATAATATGAAATTTTATGTTCAGATTCTGAATGTACTTTGATAATAATGTTCTTTGTTCTCATTGATAATATGAAATTTTATATTCAAATCCTGAATGTGCTTTGTCATGAACCAATTTCAAAGGTTATTGGTAAATGGGATTTGCATTTTTTTGTTAAAAAAAAAAAACAAGTCAATGGCAAGTAGGTAAGACATAGGATTATCTCAATTCTTACTTGACTTTAATCACTAATGGTTATTATTGATGTCAACAAGGTGGAGTTTCCTATATAGTTGCCACAATTCCAAAGGCAAGCACACATCTAATTAATATAAATATCTAGATTTGACCAAATAAATTTTGATAATTACAATAATATTGTTAATTTGTTATCATGGAATATGCATAAAAGTATAAATTATAAATTTTGACAATAAAATTACAACGTAGTGATAATAAAAGGTTTTAAGTTTAAATCTTATTATACGTGAATTTGATTGTTAATTAGTTAAATATAATTTGTTAATTAATTATTTAGAGATTGTAATTTGATTATGATATAATAATCGATTATTTAGTTAATTATATAAATATAATATTTGATTATAAATATAATTTAAAAGAAAAAAAATGTGTTACATGGAGTAGACTCTCCCATATAGAAGAGTTAGAATGTGTGAGTATTAGTTTTATAAGATTCCATGTTTATTAAATTTGGCATAATTTTAAAGAGTAATGTGATCTGTATCTAGCAAGTAGTATGGGAGATATGAATTTTAGAGGTGTTAGATTTGAATTCTCGAAAATTGGGGAGATAAAGAAGAGCTTGAGAGGAAAAATGGAGATTAAGAAAGAGTCAATACACGGCCAACAAAAATATATATATATATATATCAATCTAAACAATTTTTGTAAAAGATAAAAGAGGTAATGTTGCTTTATGTACTATCTGTTTGTTTTCTCATCATCATCATCATTTCTTTCTAATGCTTGAATTGAAATTTGTGTTCACAGTGTGCTCAAATTAAGCCAAAAATGGTGAGATTGTTGAGAACATTTCACACCAGAGACAGAGACACCCAAACTTGATTCTGAAATGAAAGTGTGGAAGCAAAAACTAAAGTGCAGAAACAGAATGGACCAGCAGCTTCTACTTTTCTGTCAAAAAAGAACAAATTAATCAGTTCTATATTACATTTAGGAGGAGTAAACATCAAGAAAACGTGTCTGGCCAAAGAAAAAAACATCAAGAAAATGTTTTTGCTGGAGTTGACTTAGACAGCTTATTCTTGGGACCAAAAATGCACCCATTGTTTAATTTTGTCCAATAAAAATGGAAACAGTGAGGGATAATAGGGAATAAAGACTTCCAATCAATTGTGTTCAAAGGACTCAAAATTATGCCTTGGGAAAGCCACAAGAATCTGGTAAGATTGTGGAAAAGGGGAGACTTTAGTATTACTTGACTTCAAGTCAAGCAAAGATTCAAGGTCTAGAAACTACATGGAAATCCAATCCTCGATCTCCATAATTCTTAAATTAAAAAAAAAAAAAGTTTGGCTCAACGTGTTCGATTTGATTTTGATTAGAACCAAGTTAAGAGTTGATATGAACAAGCATTCTAAGTAAACAATTGTTCTATTTAATTCACATTACTTTTCTTGTTCTTTGTTTAGGAGAAATTTTTTTTCACAAAAGTAAACTGCAAGAGTTTTTTATAGTATAAAGAATATCATAATATAAAAATATCAAAATAAATTATAAGTATTGAAATTTGAAAACAAATATTTTTTTAAATTTGATCATTAATTTGTTTATTAAATTATTTCTTTCAACAACAAACGGAGTGAAATGAACATGCAAAACGCATCAAATATGAGTGGAAATTGACAAATACAATAGCCAGCAAATGGAGTTAGCCAAGTTGTTGAGAAATAATATGCTTACAATTTTTTCAATTTAAATATAAATATAAATATAGTTGTTAATCTTAGTTTCCCCCTTTGTCTGCTGAAAAGGCCCCAACCAAGTAACTTCGCGACAAGAGCATTTGATGAGTTTCACCAGGCCTAAGCAACTTTCATATCAGTAGCTTAACTGAGACGGTTGGATGTGCATGGAAACAACCATCGACGACAAAATGTATGAGACAAACGATCAAAACAAACGCACAAAAAAAAAAAAAAAACGATCTTTCTCAGATATTTCTTTGATTTAGCATAATGAGAACAACTTGGAGGTTGCTTGATTAGTAGGAAATCATTTTAACACAATGCCGATAGCAACAAGTTGGAAACTTTTGTCAGATTATAAATATTGTGGCTTATCATAAAAGACAATAAACAGCTTAAAATTGGATGTCTTAAATGAATCAAAAAAAAAAAAAAAAAAAACAAAAGGGAGACATTCAAACCGCTTAAAAAGATGTAATGTTGGCATTCAAACTGTGATACTTATTTTCGGATGCTTTAAAATTTCCGGAGTAACAACATCCGAGCATTCGGTGGTTCAAGCATAAGACAATGGCAAAAACAACACCCACGGTAGATGATAAACTTTGGTTGAAGCTTTCCTCTCCACAAATCATGAACTAACAATGCATTGAATCTCATAAGTCCTCTTTAAGAAGAGCTAAATTTAGTTATATGTCAATCCTTTGGAAAAAGAAACATAAAAAGTGATAAAAGAGAAAATGGGGAAGCTCAGATTTCATAGCCCAAGCACATATTTACAGCATCACCAAAAAAAAAAAAGAACAAACACAGAAATATCCGCCAACACAGTTTCTCTTAGTAACACTATGATAATGTACAACGCAAAACAAGGCAAGGAAACATAAGTCCGCTGCCCAGCCTACACACTATAAGAGTTACAAACACAACGAAGAAAA